ATATATATATATATATATATATATATATATATATATATATATATATACATATATACACACACTTGTAGCAAAAAAGCTCATTTATAATATAATAATAATTATAATTAATTGTTCAAAATAACAAAAATAATCAAAACAATATTTACGTAAAAAAAACTTTAATACTATAATGATCTATTTCTTAACACGACCAAATTTTTTATGTAATTAAAAGGAAGGAATAAGGCAGATGGTATAACTATATAAATCAGAAATACAATCGATCACATTTAATAAATTTATTACATATAACTTTAAAATAAAATATAAATCAAAACACTACATATATATTTGTAATACCTATCTTCATAATGCACACATCTGAATAGAAAATTTTGAGTAATGAATAACTAAACTTATTTTGTTCACTGCAACATAAACATTTATAATTATCACAGAAAATAAGGAACGTTTGGTTACATATAAAAAAAATAAATAAACATATATTAATAATTATAACATAATATTAAAATAAGATTGTCACATATCATTTTGTACTTTTGTATATGTGATTTTAATGTTATTCTTAATGTAATAAAAAAAATTGTTCTTTATTAATATCTGAAATATAACCGAAATTTAGACCGAACCTTTAGAACCGAAATTTTTGTGTGCCCCTTCCCCCGTAAAAAATGTTCGTAAATATTATTGTTATTAGCAGAGAACATTTTAAATTTAATGCTCGAAAAATTTAAGTGATAAAATTAATTGTTGCTGCCGGCAATTTACAGTACATTCCATAGATACTGAAATTTTCGGCGACGTCTGGCACGGTGTTAGACCCGAGATTTTTGTCTGTCATTTCATATACAGATTATTAAATACGTATACAATAAGCAAAAAAATTTTTAGCCGTACATATATGACGATATTCATCCTCGATATTTTACAGCTAAGGGCGTACGCCCCCGCTGAACGCACCACCGGCCAGCAGCCAGACTTGCGCTTTCTTAATTTGCAACATTGCCACAATCGTTTGAGGTTGAAAATTTCCTTAAACGAATGACGTTGGTATTTTCGTAGCCAGCTCTCGGTCTATTGGTTGCTTCTAAACTTTCTTCATTTTCTTCATTTTCTTCGGTGTGTTCAGTACTCAAATCTATGCTTTCAGACGTATTTACATTTACTCTAAAACCACGTGTACTTGATGCTATGGACAACGGTGTAATTTCTGGGTTTTTTCTTAGCATATCATCAATAATATCAAAATATTCCCAGGTTTCTTTTGCTGCGCCAGTACGATTATTTGCATCTTTTAACGTTTTATATCTTTTCTTCATACCAGTCCATTTTATACAACAGTTTTCTGCAGTCAAATTATAACCATGAGTGTTAATAACTGCAGCAATAGTTTTCCAAGCTTGCTTATTTAATGGACTAGTAGAAAATTCTGTATACGTAGTTATTTCTGCTAGCAGCAGTTTTACCATATTATCAGTCCACTAAATTCTGTAAATCACAGTAATTACAAAAATTAGTTACTACTTGAGCAAATTGTAATAATCGACTTATATAATTATCTTTATTAAATAATCATGTACATACCAACATCATTCACTTCTCTCACTGAACTTAATTTATCTGTAGCCATTTCTCAACAAAGCCGACCTGTAAAAATCAGATTTTTAAAAATGTATATTATATGTAGGTTTCACTGCTACAAAAATAGAAATCTAACCAATCTGAACCAATAAAAATCTAATAGAATTCAACAAAGTATGATATAAAATTGACAGCAAAAGCTAAAATCAGTTCTTTCATGACTGCTTATGTTTATAAGTACGTTTAAATAAAATAACATTTATAACATTAATAACATTTATTGAGAATCGATGTCTAATTAAAATTTTATATTAGAATTTGAAATAATACCGTTATGATTGACACTTGATAGACAAATGAATAAAAAAAACGTTTGTAAATAAGATAACCTCTTTGCCATTACTTTAGACAATACTTAAAAAATACATGATTGTGTTACATAATTATAATTTTAATGAAGTTAATACCATACATTAAAAACAGATTATTTTTAATTGTAATAATCAAATAATTTATATCGTATTTTTTAGGTTACCTGCTACAAAACTACTCACGGAACTCGCAACTTGCAACTCGCCCGTGATGCCCGTTAATTTGGCTATTAGTCCAGTCAAAATACGGAAAAAAGGGGGGGTACCTAGAAAAAATTGCAACACAAGGTTTTATTACGTCATTGTGTTCAGAAAAATATACTG